CACAATATTGAGAAAATTAAGACTGAAAATTTATTTATTTATTTATTTATTTATTTATTTATTTATTTATTTCCCAATGTCAGTGTTGGCAGTAGCCTTTAAAATTTATATTTTCTCTGATACAAGCAATATTAGATGGCCTTTTCTGTAACATCAACATTGTATCAATGTGCACCTCTTGTTCCCAGAGCTTAAAATAGCAAAAGGAGGTAGGAACTGACAGTGCACTAAATCAATGCTGATTTTTATACTTGGGAGATGACATGAAATTGAGGTCAGTAAGAGTCCCAGCATGCAGGACAGGTCAAGGAAGGAAGTGCACCATGGTGGCTGTGTTTCTTTCCTGACCAAACAGATGTGTTGGTCAGGGCATGAATAGTAGGAGAAGAGGTTGCCTCTTCTGCTTGATGCTTTCTGTAATTCCTCTGAGCATTGTTGGTCTGTGACCAATCCCTACTTTCATTCCTTTCTTCACAGAGGAAAATTCCACTTAATATTGCTGGTGTAACCGGAGAAATAGCATTAGAAAGTATAGTACCTCTAACATAGTCAGACTGACCAACTGAAATCAGACTTGTCACATTCCTGTGGTGTATATCAGAGCATTTACTTCGTTCGACAAATCCAGTCATACAGTACTTAACAGGACACCTGGAATTATGGCTGTCAAGTTCTAACAGAATTTCACTGGATTTCTAAATGAGAGGAACCAATTCTTAATTATCTAGACCAGGGAAACTTTACTGTCATGGAAAGTACTGTGGATTTTGATATATTAAAATTCACCTTGGAGCAATTTTCAAAAAGGATACCCCATGTAATTTATCTCCAAGTCTTCACCAAGGACGTACGGATAATATGTACTCATGCATTTTGGATTTCTTCATACAGTTTGGGGATTTTTCCTCTCCTGTTTCTCTTTACCTCTAGATTTAGAAAATCAGAGAAGTTGACTTCTAAGAGTCTATCATTTTCTTAGTAAAAAGTTCACTATCTAGTGATCATTATTTTCTGCCCAGCTATTTTCAGTTTTACACTTATTTCCTTTGCCAAGAGTTATTTAGAATATGAATGCATTGTCAGGTTTGGGGTGTTCATTTTAAAACACTTTATTAAAACAGAAGTTGTATATTAAATGAGGATAATATTCTTTCTTGCCTTTCATTTTTTAATAAGCAAATATCTGATGTCTTTGATCAGAGATGTATAGAAATATGGGATTTATTTTTTAAAATTTAATTACATTTATTATTATTATTTTTTGCTTTGTTCCATAATATTTTTTTAACTTTTACAAAAATCCACACTCCCAAAAACTTTTGACATTTTGACATTTTTGGCCTTTGGAACAGAGTATGTTGCTAACAGGCCCAAGGACATTTTGACTTTTAGCCCAGAAACTGACTACATTTCTTTGGGGTCTTTTTACCCTAACTGCCTAGCCAGTTCCTACCTCCTATTCTTATCACACCACCCTCTGAAGGGGTTACCCCAACTGCCAATAGGGAATAGGGAGGCAGACCGCTCTGGCTTCTTCCATGCTGAACAGGGACTCAGGGTGAGGCAATTGGAGTACCCCTTCAGTGGGTCTATCTAAAAGACTCCCAAATTGCATAAGTCTCGTCTATAAGGGGAAAAGAAACTTCTTGAATCCTGAAGAGAAGATGTGAAGGAGAAGTAAAGGCAAGAGTAATTAGCATTACAAGTTCTAGACAGGGAACTAGGAAAAAGTCAGAACAGGGCAATTTTCAAATGTTCATGTAAGAGTCCACTGGAGTTTTTTTATTACAATATTATTAATTATTATTATTTTGTGTGTATTTGTGTGGGCACACATGTGCCACAGCACACATGTGGAAGTCAGGAGACAACTTGAGGGAGTCTTTTATTTCTTTCCACCATGTGTGTTCTGGGGATGGCACTTAGGTCATTAGGCTTGATGGCAAATACCTTTACCTGTTGAGTTATCACATTGCCTGAAAGATGGGCTTTCTTGATCTTTAGAAGTAGAAAGTCTGATGTTGCAACCTGACTGAGTCCTAGTACACTGGTACCTCTATCATATAGGAAGAACCCAAGCAACGGTTATTGCAGCAAAGTTTAAGAATACATATTGTGGAAACATAGTGATTAAAAGTAATTTAAACATAATTTTATTTTTATTTTCACACTTGGAATGAAGGGTCTGACTTTTTCCAAGTTATACTTAAATTAATTTAGAAGTATAAATCGAGTGACTTAGGGCTCTTTACTTGAATAGAAATAACCTTTTTAAAGAGATTTTACTATTTTTTTATTTTGCTATTTTTATTCAAATAAATTATTTATGATTTTTGGTTATGATGATTTGTATGGGAAGGGAGCACTTATTTATAAATATGTTTTAGAAAGTCAAGTTGAGACCCCATCAGTAAATTCTTAGAAAATATCTTGCTACTTAATTTCTTTGTATAATCTCAATGTCTAATGCAAAAAGCAGTTACTCAAATATATCATTATGGTACAAAAGCAATATTTTCCTGTAAATCAATACAAGCATACTGTAAGAACTGCATTGAAGATAAAACTTAAAAGTCATCTATTATTTGACATACAATGAGAAATATGGAAAATTTTAGTGTTTTGTTAATATTATTTTATATGAATTCCTGCTAATTAAAGATGATAAAATCTAGTGATTTTTAAAATTTAAGATAAAATACTGCCATAATTTTCATTCATCTTTTTTTAATTCCTGAAAGATGTTTACTTTTCATTATGCTTACTTTTATACTTTTAGTCTGAGGTCCAGTGGTATAAGGATCTCATTACTTAAAACAGATAAAACTGTGCATGGTGGTAGCTTGCTCCTGTAATTCCAGCATGCAAGTGGCAGAAGCAGGAAGATAATGAGTTCAAGGGTAGCTTTGTTACATACCAAGACTCTCTATTAGCAAACTAAAAGCTGGGGAGCTTTTTTAGTTGTGGAGCATTTACCTAGCATGTCCAAAGCTCTGGGTTTAACTCCACATGTAAGAAATAGATAAGTCCCATAATTAATTTCAGGAAATATATATATATAGCCACTCAATGACCATCACTAACTACTTTTCTCTTTTCCATGGATTATTTAACTACTTAAGGCAAAAGAAAGAATTTTATGCTTGGATTACTCTAATCAGATTATTGTCATTTTTATGTGCTTTGGTATTCTAATCATCGATACGATCAAGATATTTTCTGTCTGTGCATTTTTTTCATTGAGAGAAATTTTTAGAAAATATATATTTAAAAGTGTATGACTTACCTAAATTTCTCACAATTTAAATATTGAAAATACTTATCCAATTTTTACTGTTAATAAGAACTTCAATGTTTGATTTTTTTTATTGGTGAATAGTTCAATCTCACTGATATTCTAATTTTGAGGTCATGTTATTTGTTTTAAAAGATATCAGGTACTCAGAGAAGTCCTAGTAAGCCTTTACATTAACATCACTTTGTTTGAACTATATTTCCCATTGGGGTTCTGGAATGAAGTAAGTGCCTCAAGGTGTCAAAATCAGATTGAGTTGGTTAGAGGCCAGCTTGAACTCATCTGTATAAGAAGTTAGCTCAGATGAGAGCTTAATGCTCTTTAAACTTGTAGCATTGTACACTTACACTGTACTTTATACAAGTATCCAGGTGTGGGCAGTGATTCAGGGCTTGGGGGACCCTGGCTTACCGGCCAAGGCAGTTAGTGCAAAACCTGGCCAGCAGCCCGAGTGAGTAGGAGCCATGTGACTCTGGTGAGTTGGAGTGTGGAATTGCCTCCTGCTTCAGAGCTACCTGATCCGAATACTAAGCAGAGCGAGTGCCAGGCTGAATGTAAGACACTGAAGACACTGCAGAGCAAGGTGCTTATTCCAGAGGCATTACAAAACATGGAGATTAAAGACCAGGGAGCCCAAATGGAGCCGCTGCTGCCTACGGTAAGAGACAACCTGCTGTCAAATAGATTAAACGCTTTGCTGCAAAACCTGTCAGGCAAGTGGTGGGCTCCTAGGTGCAAGGAGTGTACTTTTGGGGTGGTGGATAGCTCCCACGACATATGGACAGGGTCTCCTCCCATCGCGGGAGACTGAAATACTTAAAGCAAAGCACATGATTTTTTCCACCTTCTCAATATGGATGCACCATGGTGATGAAATGTCTCATGTTTGTTGCTGTTTGAGTAAATGGCTAGGTTTTAACGGCAGAGACAGTTGTATGTCTTTCTCCCTGCCTGTCACTGCCCATCTTTCTGTTTCTGAGGCTCTGCAGTGGTGACTGAAGCCCCTGCATAGAAGCCCCCTTTTATCCTCTTTAATCCCTGATAAATCTCCTCCCGATGCTTCATCCTCAGGCAGTGAGGTGACGAAATCTGTTGCTGTTGCAGCTCTAGAGATTCAGTCTCTGCAGAAACCAGGGGAAAGGATTTGTGTGTGTGTGTGTGTGTGTGTGTGTGTGTGTGTGTGTGTGTGTGTTATATCAGTCTCTTTCTCAAAGGGAAATGTGTCACCGTTCACGAATATAGAATGTATTCATTTTCAGAACAGAGGCACACGATTCAGATTTGAGTGTCTGAAAGGTTTCTGAACTGTCATTTGGAAATAGCCCATCTGTTTATCTGTAGGTCCTTTAACTGCCTGCCTAGATTTAATTTTTGGAGTGATTGATTTGCCTGTCTTCTGCACATTCTTTCTGTCTGGCTCAGAGACTTTGGATTTAAGGAAGCATCTTTTTAGGTCTGGGGCCCCTCGTGTTGCTATATTCAAGGGGAGGAACCCTCAGTATTTAGTTGATGAAGCAGAGATGCCAAACATTAACTTACAACCCTTTATCAGAGTCATCACAGCCCAGAACAGCAAAAATCTCCGCAGCACCATACCAGACCTGGGGGACTCTGGTTTGTGACCCACCTTGCAGACTACAACCGCCTATCCTTTGAACACACGTTAAATGATACCGCAGCCGGAGAGAGAAATTTCTGGGCCACTTTATATTTAGGGCCTTACCACTCCTGCCAGGCTCAAATGCTGCAAAAAAAAAAAAAAAAAAGATTCCAGTTTGCGTCCTGCATCAGCTGTGGCTAACGGAGCATGCCCAGTGCTTCCCAGGACTCCAGGTTTGGGTAGGGAGGGTGAAGAGAGATGGGAAGAACACGAGTCACCAAAAAGGATGGAGCTCTAAATTAAAGGCCTGGACAGTGTCAGAGAGGGAAAATGGGAAGCCTGTTAATAAGCTTGCCTGCTTAAAGCTAGAGCCATTTGTGTGTGTGTGTGTGTGTGTGTGTGTGTGTGTGTGTGTGTGTGTGTGTGGATGTAATAAAAGTGGAGTTATGCACAAATGAATAAAAGATCTGTCTATTTTCCTAACTTGAACAGATACATATTCTGTAGTTACTCAGAACAGTGTTAAACATACCAGCGGACTATTGTTCTCTGGATGACAGAGAATTACAGTATGGAAAGATTAAATATAGGGGTAAATCCCTTTTGTGGTAGAGGGGAGTGGGGGTTGGAACTTGTTCTAGAAAAGCAGACTGAAGCCAGTTTGACGTGGTTTATGGATTGTCACTTTTTGGGAGTAGTCAAAGGATTTAAGGCCAAATGAGGATTATCTGGAGGAATTTAGAAATGGATGACATTACTGGACTAGATGGGCAACTAATTTGTGGCTTAAAAAATAGGAACATATATGATTGGCTAAAAAGGAAGTTTGCTGGGAACATTTGACAGCTAGAGGATGGCTAGATTTAAAAGTTTACATTTCATGGTGGTTAATGACTAGTATAGAATAGGTACACAGTTTAATGGTAAGACAGAGACACGTTAGCAATTTATTGTAAGAAAATAAGCCTGAGAAATGGAAAGAAAGGTGAATTTTTGGTCCAATTTTTTATCTATATAGTGTTTTCAATTTTCCCAATTCCTTTAAATTTCTTTAAAATCATAAATGCTATGTATAGCAGTTTTTCTTATCTTTATTTTAAAGATGAGAAATTGAGGCACGTGGAGTCCAAATAAATTGTTGAAGGTCACACATTAAGAAAACTAGGACTAGAATGTAGGTCTTCTAAAACTAGTTCAAAAATTAAAAAAAAAAAAAAAGGTTTTTAATCAGACTTGACACAATCAGTTCCTGGGCTGGGATTTTTATGTTTTTAAAAGAGAAAGCAATAGCTTTGGGGCTTATTTTAGGAAATTTATGAGATGACCTTGCAAATGATTATGTGAGAGACAATATGGCATATTATTTAGGCACAGGTATATCAGAGTTAGTACCGCTATGCATTTGTTCTATAACCTTGGTTAAGTTATGACTTAGAGTTCACAACTAAAAAGTAGGAAGGGAATGGCATATACCTTTTGTTTAAAATTTTTTATTCTACATTTATTTATTTGTTTGGTTATTTTTTTGTGTGAGCTTACATGCCATGGCATGTGTGTGGAAGTCAGAGAACAACTTGCAGGAGTTGGTTCCCTCCTTTTGCCGTGTGGACTCTTGGGCAGGTACCTTTATCAGCTGAGCTATCTAATTGACCCAAGGTCACTTTTTAAATGTAATTGATCATATAGGATGTGTGGTGGAATTTAGCATCTATTTAAAAATATTTTTATTGATTTGAGAATTTCATGCAATGTATTTTGATCACATTCATATCCCTCCTCTCCACCTTACTGCACCCCTCAACTTCCTCTCCTCCCCTTCTCTTCCTCCTCCTCCTCCTCCTCCTCCTCCTCCTCCTCCTCCTCCTCCTCCTCCCATCTGTAAAAGGAGTCTAATTCCTAAATGCTCTTGGGTGTTGGGTATCCGTTGCAGTCTTGTCAGTCTACCAGGCATCACACCAGTAAGGAAAAACTGACTCTTCCTCTCCCAGCATTCATCTATCAGTTGCCAGCAGATCCTCAGCTAGGGCTCAGGCTTCCTGCCCACTTTCCCCATCCATAGTGTCTATTTTTTGTGTTTATTTAGACATTTCGAAATGTCTCAGATTATCATTTTACTTGTGGGAAATAAGTTATGAAAAACTTTTATATGACTAAATTAAGGAATGAAAAAATTTATTTAATTTGAATTATAATTTAAATTATAAATTTTACTTATTTATTTTTATATGTATGAGTGTATTGCATGTATTATAATTTTAATATAAAGCAAACATACTATACATGTTAGCACATAGGAAGACATGTAGAATAAGAAACAAGTCCTTATTGTTATTTGAATAGCTACCCTAGAAAGGTGAAACTACATAAATATACTGTCCAGTTTTCCCAGCTTTTATTTCCATTCTTTAATGTGAATATAAATATAAAATACAAAGGTTGGAAATCGGTGGTAAAATCCAATTGTGGTAAATTTTAGTTTATGATAAAAATGTTGATGTCAGATTAGGAAATAGGGAAGTTTAGAATAGAGAGTTGGGAAAAATCTGGGTTAAACTCTGCAACCCAAATAGAAGTCAGAGGGCATGGTTAGACATTTGTGGTATCTTTCTATTCTGGTCCTCGATGATGGTGGCTTCAGAAAGTTAACTGGGCACATGCAGACAGCAGTGCATTATAATGTGCTGAGAGTGAAGGGAGAAATGTGGGTGCCACTCGTAACCCTTTGTTCAAAGAAATTTCAGTTCTCATATCTTACAGGATATGAGACAAACTGATCATTTGATTATTTGAGAGGGTGCCATTATTAGTCTATGCAGTAAATGTCAGTTGAGATTTATTTATTTATTATTATTTACATGCTGAGACTTGAACCAAGGACTTCATACATAGAGGTACGCACTCATCTACAACTGAACTACAACTCCAGCCCTATGTTTATTTTTAGATAAAGTAAAAGAAAATTTAATGCTTTTTTTTTTGAACAGTCTCTTTGTAGTTCAGGCTGACCTCAAACACAAGGAAATCTTCCTGCCTTTGCCTCTGAAGAGGTGATACTCCTTGGGGTATGTTATTTTTCTTTAGAAACGAGGAAAAATTCATTTATTTTGTTTCTCTTTTTCTCCCCTCCCTCCATCCCTCCCTCTTTTTTTTTTTTTTTTTTCCTTTGAGACAGGATCTCTTTGTAGTTCAGCTGGCCTGGAATTTGCTATGTAGACCACTCTGGCCTCCATCTCATATAGATCCGCCTACCTCTGCTGCCCCAGGGCTGGGATTAAAGGTGTACACTACCACACCTAGCTAGCCTTTATATTTTTGAATGAGCATACTAAAGAATGAGTTTCATTATGAAACCTTATATGCATTTCATGCACTTTTCTCATACTCATTCCCCCTTTCCCTTCCTTCTTCCATACTCCTCTTTCCAATCAGTTACACTTCTCTCCCCTAATGGGCTTTTCTTCTACTTTCATGTCCTTCATATTTTCAAATCTAGACTCTGAATATGAAAGAAAACATGCACTATTTTTCCTTCTGAACCACACATTTTTTTGCTTAGTATAATAATCTCCAGTTCTATAATTTTTTTGTCATTTCATTCTTTCTTATGGTTGTGTAAAATTCTGTTTTGTTGTATATCACATACATTTCATCTGTTCATCTGTTGATAGACTTTTCCATATCATGGCTACAGTAATTATGGATATCCAAGTATCTCTGTGGAATGATGACTTAGATTCCTTTGAGTATATACTGATGATCTACTTATAAAGTATATACTTATAAGTATATAAAATATGTGCTTATATTTTTAGCTTTTTTTTGGAACCTCTTTATTTATTTCCATAGTGGCTATGCAAGTTTATGTACTCAACAGTAGTGCATAAAGGTTCCTTCCTCCAGCACCTTCATAGGTATCTGTTGCTTGTTTTTTGGTGATTGTTGTTCTGAGTGGAGTGTTATGGAATTTCTATGTAATTTTGATTTGTATTTCCCAAATGGGTAAGGTGTTCAACATTATTTCATATCTATCTATCTATCTATCTATCTATCTATCTATC